CCTGCTGGGTTGTGTCTCTGGGAAGGTGGTGGGTGGGCCCACATCTGTGTCCTGCAAAGAGTAATCTCTTACTCTGAGCCTGCAGGAAGTGGGGGGGCTTTCCCCAAAGGGTCCCTTTTGTCCTAACCCCAAAATATGAGTGTCTCTGAGTCAGGAAAAAGCTTCCAGAAACAGGGAGCCGAGGCAGGAGGAGGCGAAGTTTGCATCCGGCCTGGGTTACACAGAAGATCCTGTCTCAGAAGGAAAGAAGTGCTCTAGGCAGCTGCTGCCTGCCAGTGGCCCCAGGGCCAGCCTCATGGGAAGGCTCCCTGCCTTTCCTGGTGCCTGGGTTTAATTTGAATCCAAAGTCAGCCTCTGCATGTTAAATGAAGCATGTTCCGTTGAAAATACTCTGGGCCTTTTTTTTTTTTTTTTTTTTTTTTAAAGAACATCCTTTTAGGGGAAAAAGAAAAGTACAGATCAATTTTTTTAAGTCCATCCCCCAGGCACCATCATTTAATTATGAGCAAGGCATAAATTATGCATCCGGACATTGTTGCCTTTCCTGTATGGGTTTCGTCCACTCCATTCCGGGACTGACTCCCTCACCTCTCTCTGCATCCATGGCCCTCACCTGCACAGAGTTGAGTCGACAGTAGCCATTGAGGGGGAAACGGATGACGTGTGTGGGGTCCTGGTTCCAGCCAGCGTTGACGGAGTTGCACATGACATCACCCGTCTCAGGGAAGACCTCCTCAATGAGGGCTTTCTCGCCACTGAGTGCAATGCGTTCACCCAGGTCGGGGGTGACTCGGACCACCAGGCAGTCACAGACCCGGCTACGCCGTCGCTGCTCCTGTTCCTGCTGCCAGCGCTCCAGCTCGCGAACCATGGGCTGCAGCTGGTAGTACCTCGCCTCCTCATACAGTAGGTTGAAGTCCTGTGGACAAACACATAGCGTCAGGGAAGCACCAGGCAGTCCCATCTGGGTTGCTCATCCTTTCCCTCTTCACAGACAGCTTAACTCCCAGATACAATGAGGACTAGGACGGTCATTTCCATCGTAGAGGTGAGCAAAGAAAGATTTCCAGTGCGTGTGCCCCCAACATACAGAATCTAAAGCAGGCTGAGTGCATCAGATGAGACTCTTCCTGGACCTTCAACCGGACGGCAAACAGAAGTGTCATAGAAAGCGCTGGAAGCTGCTAGTGGCGCACGCCTTTAGTCCCAGCACTGGGGAGGCAGAGGCAGGGGGATCTCTGTGAGTTAAGGCCAGCCTGGTCTACAGAGCGAATTCCAGGACAGCCAGGGCCATACAAAAAAACCCTGTCTAGGAAGAAGGAAGGAAGGAAGGAAGGAAGGAAGGAAGGAAAGAAGGAAGGAAGGAAGAGAAAGACCAAGCTAGAAGCTGAAACTATAGGGAGATAGGAGCTGGGTACATGCTGCCCTCCTTCACACTGTGCCCTTGCCCAGATCCCAAGCAGACCTTTAGGGAATGCATTTCACCCATCAGCCACAAGGGCTACAAACCCTCCTGAGCTGGCTTGCCCTCTTTACAATGAATATAAACACTGGACCCTGAGTGAAGATTAAAGGACAGGAGACCTGCCAAGCCTCTGTCCCTGCCAAAGCAGGTAGAGAATATGACAAGGTCCCTGGGAATGACGGTCCTGGGGCAAGGTCCTCACCAAACAGCCCATCCACAAAAACTGTCCCCTCAGACCCTGACACTAGCCGTGTGTGTGTGTGCTCACCAATTCTTGAGGGGCCTATGTCCATGACTCACGCCACTCAGTGCATAGGTGGTGACTGACGTCCCAGGGGAAAAGCAAGGGAGATCAACTCTCACAGCCCAGCCTGCACACCCAGCGTGTTTCTGTTGTTGGCCCCAGAGGCCCAGAATCCCATCATCAAGGCCCACCACGAGCTGTGACCCTGCCTGCTCTTCATAAAAGGTCTTTTCTCCCAGCTCTCACCAGCCCTGAGAGTTTTATATGACATCTTTATGCCAACTCTTTCCCCAAGCCTAGAATGTTCCAGGCACAGACTTTGACTCACTGACTCAGGGCTGAAGCTGCGAGCTGGACGCACCCTCCAGAGCCTCCTGACCCAATAACCCACACTCAAAGCCTTTGTACCTCTCTCCCCCAATGCCACTCTCTCCCTACTCCCAGCAAACCCAGAAACACAGTGACATAGCTAGCCTGTCCCCACTCCTTCTCCCTGCATCTCACAGCAGAGCCAGCGTGGTCCTCCCAGTTTGCAAACCTGATCACTCTGCCCCACTATCCTGCTATATGCTGAGCCACCCAGCAAGATGCAGGTCTCACCAGCAGCCTCCCCGTCTCCCCTCCCTTCCCGGATCCCAAAGCCCCAGATCTCCTCTCCATGTCATTAGGGTATCCACAATTGTCTGCTCCATTCTTCCTTCACCATCTAGCTCAACACTTTCCATCACACCCACCACCCAGGCCAGGTTTCCCCATCTTTTGATTAGGACTCTATTTTGTCTGTTTCTGCTTCTTTGTTTTGAGACACGTAGCCCTGGCTGGCCTGGAACTCCCTCTATAGACCGGGCTGGCCCCCCCAAACCCACAAAGACTAGCCATAGCCAACATTTACCTCCCAAGTGTTGGGATTAAAGGTGTACGGCATCATTGTTGCTGACTTTTTCTAGACAGTGGCTTACTCTGTAGGCCAGATTAGCCAGAACACTCAGCAATCCCCCTGCCTTAATCTTGGAAGGCCTGGGACAAAGTGTGTATCTGGTGGGATCCATCACACCAGGCATGCACAATTTTCTGAAGCATTGGGCCCCATGCAATTGAGACTAAACCTCTATTTTCTAGGCTGGAAGAGGCAGAGCCCATGGCTTCCAGTGTAAGCTCTATTTTCAGACCGAATTCAGCTGTTGCCATTTAGTAACTGGGCTGGATGAAAAAGGGCCCCGGGGCTGCTGGTGCAGTAGTCGCTGCAGGAAGCCTCAAAGCAAGGAAGCACACAGACAGACAGACAGACAGACAGACACATTTGCCAGCAAGAGCCAGGCCTGAGTTATCTTCCCCTCATGATTTCCAGCACCTGAGAGGGGCTCAGCTCTGAGGCAGGGCCATAGAGAACCAGATCAGCTACCCAAGACAAGCTTATCCAGAGTCCTGGGAGTGATATTTGTTTAAACCCCCTAGCTCCCAGGGGTTTCCCCCCAGCTACAAACTGCAACAACGGACAGACACACAGACCTCTAACTCCTTAAACACAACTAACATCAACCTGGGGTAAGAGCCAAAGCTTAATTGTTGTTACACCCCGATAAATACTCTCAAGATGTGAGAAAGCAAAATGAGTTTGGAAAAACTGATTTAGCCCTCGGCTTCATTGGTTAGCTTTTGGTGGTCGCCATGACAACTGTGGGTCCGTTTGTTAAGTCGCAGCGTCCCCTGTGTAATGCCACGAGACACAGGCAGGGCAGGGGGTGCCGCTGGCTCGACTCACCTTGAAGTCATCTGGAAGCAGCAGTTTTGACGTCCGCAGGAAACTGAGTATATAGCGGAAAATCTCTCCGTCCCGGTCGATAAAATAATGTTGCTTCAGACTGTCTAGGACAATGGGCTCCGTGCCGTTGAAGAGGCGGCTTATTCTGGGAGAGACGGGCAAGATGGAATATTGGCAGGGGAGGGGTGAGGTCACCTGCCCCCCCCCCACTCCTTGGAACTCACTCAGCTAGAGGGGCAAGAGGTCACCCTTAGGGACCTCTAAGGTAACTTGGAGACCTTGCCAATCCTGACAATTGTCAGCAAACACATGTGAGGCAGACAGGCTGCCTTCACATACACAGGACGCTAGGGCAGCCACGTCATCGCTCCAACCACCTTCAAGAGCTATAGCCAGCCAAGGGACATACCCAACTATGTCTGATGGCCCACTGACACATGGTCTGGAAAACCACATAAGCCAGCTGGTCCAAGCTGAACACACACCCACACACACCTACAGCAGAAAGACATGCCCAGAAAACATGTGTCGGCCACCCAGAGCTCTGGCTCCCAGTCAGCCACCTGCTAAATGTATGTCAACCAGCTAAGTCTCCAGAGACACACACCTTCTCACCCAAGCCACAACACCAACATCAAATAACAGCGCATTGCGTGCAGCCAATAGGTCCGGGATCACAGTCTCAGGCAGTGACACTCACCAGCTAACACAAGCAATCGACTCAGAGACATGACCCCATAACTGCCTCACTTAAGGAGCCACGGGGGAGAGACAGGCAAGGGAGAGCCTGCATTTGCATGCAAATCCCAGAGCACAGTGATCATGTGGTCCAAGACCTGGACAGGTACTCATGTATACCACACATGTGTGCATATCGGGTGAGAGAGGCTGGGACTGGGAACGACTCTAGTGCCTAGAAAGACAATGCTACAGACACAGGAGACCTTGGGGGAGCCCCGATGCCTCTCACTGTCCATTTCATGGCAGAGAAACCTGGCCTTGGGGCCTAGGCTACTGCCCCCTGCCCCCAAGCACACAATGGCGGGGTCTGGCTTGGCTAACTGCTCTGCAGATCTCAAACGCTAAGCTAGATAATCAGGAGCCCCAAAGTGGGTTGGGGGCAGCTAAGATCTTCACTTGGGAGCAGAAGGGAGGTGAGCAGTTCTTCAGTGGCTGGTTGACTTCGAGCCTGGGAGAACTGTTCCTAAGAAAGCCTTGGAGGCCGAGAGGTAGTGGCAAGTGCCTTTAATCCCAGCACCTGGGAGGCAGACACAGGCAGATCTCTGTGAGTTCCAGGCCAGCCTGGTCTACAAAGCCAGTTCCAGGACAGCCAGAGCAGTTACACAGAGAAACCCTGTCTTGAAAAACCAAAACAAACAAACAAAACGAAATGAAACAAAACAAGCCTCGGAGAACCAGGGAATTAGGGGGTAAGGGGACTTGTTGACTTGGCCTACACCAACCACCCTGCCCCCTCCAAGAATCCTCTCTCCTTGTCCTGTTCCTACAGCTACACACTCATTGCTCAGCCCAACTCAGCCACGCCCAGTCACAGCCACGTGCACCCAGAGCATGCCAGTTGCCAGAGCTGAGAAGTTCAGAGCCCCCAATGCCCTTCTTAGGTATTCCCAATCCACACAGTCCCATGTTCCGGTGGCCATGTAATCACTTGTTCTCATTCTGGGGACAGACGTGGCCCAGCCTGTCCCTAGGGGGTCAGTATAAAGGACAAGGTTGCCTGGCGGGTGGGAGTGAGCAGGTCAGAACCTGTGGGTTAGAGGCGTGGAGGCCTGAGCCTGAAGAACCAGAGGTACAACTGACAAACATAAATCCCGAGGGCTCCAGAGGCTGCTGGTGACAATGTCCTCCCCAGGACACTGGGAAGGGCAGTGCCAAGGGCCCACACCCAGGCCACTGTGCACTGACTCTCTCTCTCTCTCTCTCTCTCTCTCTCTCTCTCTCTCTCT